AATACAAGGATATTCACTGTCACCACATCAAATACATGTTTAACACATATTCAAAGTCCTAGCCAGAGCAATTAGAAAAGAACAAGACATAAAAGAAAATAACTGACACAGTCACTATTTGCAGATCACATGGTAATATACTCTCTAATAAAAAAACTATCATAACAAATGAATACAGTAAAGAGTACATAAAAAATTCAGTTGGCAAACAATGCATCAGAAGAAAGGATAGTAAGAAAAATCCCATTTATAATTATATCACAGTAAATTTAACAAAGGAGGTACACTTATATAGTAAACTATAAGACTCTGTAGAGAAAAATGAAAGAAAACACAAAGAAAAGTAAAGCTATCCTGAGTTTATAGACTGGAAAAATAAACATCATTAATTTGAAATGTAACTGAATTTACAAATTCAATGCAATCATAATCCAACTAACATTTTTGAAGGAAAACAGAACAATTATAAAATTTGTATGGAACCACAAAAGGCCCAGAATTATAAAAGCAGTCCTGAGAGAAATGACAAAAATTTATTACACTCCTGGACTTCAAATTGCAGTACACCAAAAAACAGTGTGGTATTGGAGTCAAAAGAGAAACACAGACCAATGGAACAGAATAAGGAGCTGGGAGATAAAGCCACAATAATGTGGATAGTTAATCTTTGACAAAGGATCTGTACCATACATTGTGGAGAAAGGAAAAATCTCTTTTAAACAAATGGTGTTGGAAAACATGGACAGCCTCATGCCAAAGAGAGAGAGAGAAACTGTCATCTATACTGTAAGTCCACACACAAAACATAAAGTCAATTAAAGAATAAGGTATAGGAACTGAAATTATAAAATACTTAAAAGAAAACATAGAACTGCAGATGGCAGATTACAAATGATTATTTGCATTCAAAAATGATTTTCTTATCATGTAAACCACAGTGATTTGTATCTCCTGTGTCTGGTTCCTAGGGTTTTTATTTTGCTGTTTTCATAAATGCTTATGAATTTTTGCTATCATTAAAAAAAAAACATAAGGGGTACACTATAGGACATCTCCACAAAGATGTATTTCAAGACAAAATTGTGATGACAAGGGAAACAAAAGCAAAAATAAGGAGTGAGACTACACAAAACTAAAATGTTTTTGCACTTCAAAAGAAACCATTATAAAAACAAAAAGGGAACCTGCAGGCTGGGAGAAGACAGCTGTGAAATAAAAGTAAGAAGTACTTATACCAATTACAAGGTAATAGAAAGAAGTAATAAATAGGAAATAGAAGAAGTAATAAAAACCCTCCCCAAAAATAAAAGTCCAGGACCAGATGGATTTACAAATGAATTTTACAGAACATTCAGAAAATAACTAGTGCCTATTCTACAGACTCATCCAAAAAATTGAAAAAGAAGGAAAACTACCACAAACGTTCTACGAAGCCAACATCACACTAATACCAAAACCTAACAAAGAAAACACAAAAAAAGAAAACTTCACACCAATCTCCCTAATGAACACCGATGCAAAAATCCTCAACAAAATCTTAGCTAACAGAATCCAACAATGCTTAAAAGAATAATATGCCACGGCCAAGTGGGCTTTATCCCAGGAGCAAAAGGATGGATCAACATCAGAAAATCAACTAATGTAATCCATCATATCAACCAACAGAAGAATAAAAGCCACATAATCGTATCAATAGATGAGGAGAAGGCTTTTGACAAAGTTCAACACCCATTTATGTTCAAGGCCCTTGAAATCCTCGGAACAGAAGGAACATACCTCAACATGATAAAAGCCATCTATGATAAGCCCACAGCCAATATTATCCTCAACGGAGAAAAGCTGAAAGCCTTTCCTTTGAGATCAGGAACAAGATAAGGGTGTCCACTATCGCCACTGCTCTTCAACATAACACTGGAAGTTCTAGCCAGAGCAATAAGACAGGAAAAAGGCATACAAGGAATCTAAATAGGGAAAGAAGTAAAACTATCCTTATTTGCAGATGATATGTTAATTTACATGGAAAACTCTGCAGAGGAACTAATCAAAACCATCCACCAGTTTAGCAAGGTAGCAGGATATAAAATCAACACACAAAAGTCAGAAGCTTTCCTATACACAAGCAACCAATCAGAAGAAGCAGAAGTAAAAAACCCCATCCCCTTTTCAATTAAAACAAAAAGAAAAAAAAAAGTACTTATACAATCCAACAATATAAAACACCACCAATTAAATGGGCAAAAGAAATACACGGGCATATTTTTAAAGAATGTACTCAGATGGCTGAAAGACACATGAAAAAATGTTTAACAACATTTACTACAGGGGAAATGCACATCAAAATCAGTATGTGGCACCACCTTATTCTTGTGAGCATGGCCCACAGTAAAAACAATGTAAATAACAAATGTTGGCAAGGGGAGAAAAAAAAATTCTCATGTACTATTGGTGGGAATGTTAGCTAGTGCAGTCTCTATGGAAATGTTATAGAGATTAATTAAGAAAACAGAAATGGGAATCCTGTATGGTCCATCAACATTCCACTAGGTATCTCTGCAAAGAATAGGAAAATTCTAGTATCAAGAGACTTTGGCACTCCTATGTTTATAGCAACATTGTCCATAACTGCCAAGTCCTGAAACCAACCGAACTGCCTATCAGCAGATGACTGGATGAAGAAATTGTGGAATTTATACTCAATGGATTAACTATTCAGCTATTAAAAAACAGGAAAGAATGCCCTTTTGGTTAAAACAAAATGGACCTTGAGGTGATTATGCTAAGAGAAACAGAAAACAGATATATATATCCAATATATATTTGATACTTTCAGTTATCTGTGGAATACAAGTAACAAAATACAAAATACAGGAAAAACAAATCTTAGAGAAAAGTTTAGGAGACTAGAGGTGGGGCACAGAGTGGCAGATGACAGAGAAAGGAAGGGGTCATGACACTGGTATGGAAGGTCTGGTGAAGAATGTGTGAAGTATATGCACAAAGAGTAAAAATATAATCCCAAGTTTATATAGAGAAGCAAACAATGAAAAATTTAATAAAAATACAACTGGCAGGATTAAAAAAACCCTTTGCCTGTTAAGAAGAGATTATGCTAAAAAGTGAAATTCTAAAAATCAGGCCCAAAGTTTTATCATATCATTTATAATTACACAAGATGAATATAAAATCAGAGGCCATAATGAGCATTTTCAACCGGATGATTAACAGGAAAGACAGGAAATGTACTCAGTCTTGAGATAAAAGGACACAAGATCACACTGCAGCCCTCATACAAAAAAAAAACAAACAAACAGGACTCCTAACAAACGAGTTTTAGAAGGGGTTTTATGTATATATAGTATATATGTATTATATATATATATACAAACACACACAGAAGCACATATAAAATACATACATGATGTATATATATGTATATTTTTCTTAAAATAATTGGAGATGATAGCAGACATTTATAAATCATTCTACTGAAGGTATTACTCTGTACATGATTTTTATCAACATCATTTATGAGAAACTTAACCTTCTTGACAGACTTTAGACAGAATTTCTACAGTTTAACTATATATATATATATATATTTAGAATAACGTGTGCCTGTTTTTTTGTACATTATATCAAAATACTGCTTCCCACAGAAATTTTGGTGATGTATAAATTCTGTTCAAATTATAACTGTAAATTCAGAATATACTATTAAAGAGGTAGAAGGGAAAGTGATGAGGAATGTTGATGGAAGATGAAAATGTTAAGACTTTAAATTTATTCTACTGAATATTTGTCTTGTTGAAATTAAGAATTTGTATAATAGTCTGGAAAAGCATACCAGTATAATTCTAAATCCTTCTCACCGAAGTAAAATTTAATTGAATAAACCTGAGATGAAACTTGTATGTCAAAATCCCTGAATGCTCATGAGAGGATAAGACAAAGAAAAAATCAGTTTGGAATGCATTAGTTAGAGAAAATAGTTTGAATGTTAGGAACGATGACTATTCAAGAAAAAAGTCACTCTGTACTAAGTGGATTTCTTTCAAATGAGATTAAAAAGCCCCTTCTGAGCATCAATTAAATACTAGTAACTTTGAAGTTGAGTAACCAAACTTGAGATGATCTCTGTATACTCCAAATGCTCTCCTACAGCAAAGTGATCTGTAAAATTCCTTCAGAACATCTTATTATGAATTATGTAATTTTAGTTTTCAAAATATCCCTAATATTTAGCATAATGTTATTCAAGAAAGAAATTCTTTATAGAATAATAGTGGTCATAGACAGAAAGTAAGTCTTAGAATATTACCAAATTTTGAAGTCTAAGAATGGAATTGCATCAAAAAATAAATATAATATCTGATACAGTCAACAATTCAAAGTATGGTAGTAACAATTCCACACAATATTTTAAGATTTCCATTATTTGTAAACAGTTGGCAGTTGAATTTACAGACTGGCATGTCATTCAAAGTAAAAATTCTGTTAATTTATTACTCCTTGGTGATTTGGAAAAGTACTCATGACTCAATAAACAGATTTCTCTTAAGGCTTTATTTAAGGAGGTAGATCTAGATGTTTATGTCAAATATTTTAGAATCCAATAAATCTACTCAATTCAAAACACTATGATATTACCCTAGAGAATTTAAAACAAGCAGCTTAATTTTTATAAAATAAATAGGAAAAAAGTGTCACTTTGTATTTGAAACTAGAAAAAAGGTTCTAGTAGCGTCTTTGGAAATTATATTCTCTTAAAATTTTAGATGATAGGTTGAAATCTTGTTTTACATAGCATGACAAGTAAAAACAGAGTCTTTAGACCTGAATCAGTATCTCATATTTCAGTGTAATGATCAAGAAACATTTTTTTCTGTTGTATTTTCCATATGATCACAACTTTTGAAAACCAACTATGCTATTTTGATTCTTAGCACTCTAGTATTTAGACAAGCATATTGTCTATTAAAATCTAGAACAGAGAAACTTACTCTGTCATGAAGAGTCCAGCCAACATATTTTAGGTAACTGTCATTTAGGAAGGCATCACTATACATTTTCATCCATACTCCAATTTCTTCAATACAAATGGCTCTAATCTCAGCAATAGCATCACTAGAGGGAAAAAAAAAAAGAGATAAACTTTTGACTCTAAAGTTAGAATATACTATATACTCATTGTTGGTAACACTGTATTTATAAAGGTATTGTTAAAGGCCTCCCAGTTGAGTATCTTGGTTTTTTTTTGTTGTTGTTGTTATGGCTTCTTTAATATAAAAACTACTAATATCAAACTAAAAAAAAACTTTTAGAAGCCTCTGACCCAAATGTTCTATTTTCATTAAGCTAGGATGGCATTTGGAGTTTTCTAAAAGATTTCCAATTATTATGGAACCAACAAGTACGTTGAATTTCCTAAGGAAAGTAGAACACCAGCATCCAAATACAGAGAAATAGCAAATCCAAAAAATTTTCTTTAAATAATTACGAGTTTTATAAGCTAGCACACATTTAATGAATTATAAGCAAATAAGTTTTATGATCAAAACAAATTAGTATCAATGAGGCAAACTCTTAAAACAAAAAACCAATATTATCTAAAAATATACAATAGTTTATCAAACACAAAACCTTAAAATCCTATACAGAAGAATTCACATCTAGTGAAAAAGGGGGAAAAAAAGGTAATTTATACTGTTTGGCTGAAGCAGACAATTCAAAAGTCAGAAGGCTCTACTCCCATTTAGCTCTTCTCCTTACTATAAATATCCATATAACCTTCCTGGTATGATTTTCCTAATCTAAAATCTGTGGCCCAAAAAGTAATAAGTAAATATATTGACATTATCTTTCAACAGATTATTACCTCCAGCTACTAAAAAATTAGTATTAAATAAAGATGAAGCTTAAATTTTCTTTTACAGCAATCATAAGTTTATGATTTAACTTATGTAATAAAAATTTCAGGTAATTTTGAAGTCTTCGATATACAAATGACAATACAAAAACATGCATCACAGTAAAAAAAAAACAGTACATAGCAAAATACTTTAATGGTAAAATGAAATATGGCAAAAAGCATTTTTTTCCTTGGAACTATATTGTATATCTGCTATAGGACATCATCAACTAAGTTTTTAAAAAATTGTTTTTATACTTAGAGGTGAAATTACAAGGTGAGAAGGAATGTATACATTTAGCATTATTAGATAATAACTATTTTCCCCAAAAATTAGTACTTCATATCCTTACCAGATATTTGATATTATTCTATTAAATATAACTATTATTATATTTAATAAAATATTATATTTATTATTTAATATAACTATTAAATATAGCCTGCCATTTCTATGAATTGAAGATTCATATACTTTTGTCTTTCACTGACTTACCTAAATAAAAACAAGTAACAATAATAAATTGCCCCCTTAAAAGCCAAAATACAATTATAAGACCCAAACCATCATTTTAATTCTCTTGGTACTAGTAAGTCAGTTATCTCCCAGAGATACATTATCCGTGTTATTTGTTGTATTACACCTGTAAAAATCCTAACAATGACACATATTCTTAGGGAAGCAAGTTGAGGATAAAATGAACAGGTATGGTAATGCCTACAGTGATTACTATGTAGCTACATACATAACTCATTCACTACTACTGATATTACTGTTGCCATTGATACTTAAGGTGACTAATTTCCAAAAATAGGAAATACAGATTAGACTTATATCAGTAGGAAAATTTTATTCAAAATCTTTTTTTATAGGACTAACTTTTTTTTTTTTGTATGATCATTGCTATATCTATCCCTAAGTTCTAGAACCTTTTTCTTACCTACTAGAAAAAGCTTATATACTTGGACCACAGGTCCTTTCTGTATAAACTACCAACACTTGATACAATTTGATCTTCTTGGACTCCCAATACTTGTCACCTTTTGACCAGTATAATCCTTCCCACTGAATTTAAAAAATTAAATATTCATTCTGGAGTAAGAATTTTATTATGTGTATTCTAGCAGCTGATTCCGCTATTAAAAGTACTTAAATGATTTGTCTATTTGGCCTTCAGAGTTCCATTTTTTTTTTGCTTGAGGACATCACCCTGCTAGATTAAACATTCTTTATATATAATTACAATCTATAATCACACCATATGGTTAAATTACACCTCATGTGTGGTGGTTTTAAAATATGTCCACAAATTCCTTAATATTGCCTTTAGGGAAGACAAATTCCTTGAGTGTGGGTGTAATCAGTAACTTGTTTCTAACAATGTGCTCAAAATGACAAACTATGACAAAGAGAACAAAGGTTATGATAATTTTTCTTTTTTCTTTCTCTCTGAAAAAAAATCATCTGCTATGTCTTAAGGGCAATCTAGCTATTGTATGCAGAGTGTCATGTTGTGAGTAACTGACATTTAAATTATCTTTATTATAACTTCATTTTACAGTATAAATGGTTATTTTCATTCCTATGAAAAAACTTACCTAATTTGCTAGCTTTAGTTAGAAGTCTTTTTTGGGAGAAATGACTCATTAAGATTTAAAGTTTTTATTTTCTCTTACTTTCTTGGCAGGTGTAATTAAGATTATCTTCTGCTTATAACAAAATAAAATTTAAACCAGATGATTTTAAATTAAATGCTTCTTATACTATTTCCCAATAAGCAAGTCCATTAAGTTATGATGACTATAACATAAACTTTGGAGACTGATTTGTGACTAATCTGGATGTTTTGACATTTAAAATTATCTTTCATGTAAAAGAAATCTCAAGAGAGTTCTAGACCGAAAAATAATTACATGAGCCAAGGTCTACTATCTATATTATAGCACTCAATGAATTTTATGCCTAACGTAATTTTGTCATGAAAGGTAAAACTGTAAGACTATGAATAAGAACTTGAAAGTAAAAATTATAATTTAGAAAAAGGTGAATAAAATATCTTAGAAATAGGTAAATTTAGTTGAGGTAAGAACAGGAAACTTGATGTAAACAAAATTATGGTGGAGAGCAGAAAGGGTTGGAGAAGATTTATAAGATGAAATAATATTTTAAGTGCACATCTGAAAAGCTGAAATTCTTCTGTTTGCTAATTAAATAAATAAAACTAATTTCTTCAGGATGACCAGTTATTTAAAATGCACTAGAAATGTACTAAGTTCAGAAAATAGGAATAATTTCATCTTTTTTGTTCTGTTTCTCATTGGTGAAAAGATATAAAGGCATGACATAATTATTTATAAGAGTCTCAGACATAGTAGGTGACATGGCTATCTGTTACTCTGCACTACTCCCAAATATTCTATTGATGGAATTTTGAGCAAAAGATTAAAAACAATGTAAATGACTAACTTCCAGAAAAATGTTTAAATTAATATTTACATTTTAACTATCAACCTGAGCACAGATTAGGTCAAAGATGAGATGCTATGAAGAAGGTTAAAATTACAAAATGATAGTTTGTTCAGAATAAATCATACCATGGTATTGTGTAAGTTTAGCTCTGAAAATATGATTCTGAAATATTTGATTAGTATAAAAAGATGAACAACACAACTACAAAAGATATTTATTTTTCATCTCATACTTGTCAACATATTGTTCTCTCTTCTTCCATTAAGTTTGGTTTTGTGGCCTGATAACTTAAAATTTTGCCATTAGTAAAACAGAGAGCCTTTCCTTTTTGATTGATTTTAAACTGTCTCATGATATTTGATGTTTTTTTTTCATTATGTATGCCTAAATGTGGAATCTTTTTTCTGAACCAAGTCAACAGTTGTTAAAATCTTTCCAATCTAAAAATTCAGTATATGATCAAACCAATTTTGTAAAATGCCAGTTCACTCATAAATACTGTTTCTTCTCAACATGTCTCTCTTCTTTTGAAGCTGCAATGTAAATAACTCACTAGCTTCACAAACTAATGCTATGAATCAGAAATATTGTTCCATATTGTCCTTTATATAGTACCTGGGTAAATTCCTAAGTATTATATACCAATCTACTACCTATTACTTGTTCAATAAGTAAAGAATCACTAATATATTTTTCATAGCTGTATTTTAAATTGTGTTTTAATAGCCATTTATTCTTATTCTGTGCCATTTACTTGTCTGAAGGAACTGGGTCATCTGCTCTATGTACTTTCTGACATTGTAGTCTAAAATGATAGCATAAGGATTCAATCAGACAAAATAAAGTTCTATTATCAATATTTCTTATCAATGAATATTAACATCTAATAGCATGTAAATTAATATTCAATTTTTGTTTGACTTTTGGGTGGCAGACTGGACTCAATGTAAACTGTTAAGTGTCAAATCTGCATATCACCTTATAATTGTCATATGTACATGTAGTTACATCTCCCCCTAAAAATTAAAGTAGATTAAACTTCAATTCTGGATAATCAATAACTATTATCCCTGTCATGTTAGTCACTCTGAAAGGAAGGTCACATTCTCAACTATATTTGCACTGTTCTTTTGATCAGTTAAGATTTTAATGTATAGAAATTACATTGTAATAGGACCAATACTAATTTGTGCAAGGTTAGACTAAACAAAAACCACATCTATAAGGTAGGAAATTATCTAAGTGTTGTGTTTCTGAAAGCACTACATTGAAAGCTTTGGCAAGACTACATATGAGTAAACCACTAAAGTGAGTAAAAGATCAAGCATGCATGGTTGAGCAAGATGAATAGATTTTATGATCCCACCTGAAAAAAACTAAATATCTACTTAAAACATATAAAATAATGGTTTTAGATGGTGGGTTATCGGGCAAAGTAGTAAGGACAGCTGAGCCTGTTTATGCCCAAGCATTGAAAGGAAGCTGGGATGCTAGAGAATAAGGTGGCTAAATTTCACAAGGCTTAGCATCAGAGGATGCTCAAGAGGCACAGAGATGCAGCATTATAGAGATCTGTGGCAAGATCCTATCAACTCTACAGTTGAGTTCTAAACAGAAATTACATATGAAAAAACTACCGAGGGCTGCAGAAAGAATGGAAAAAACAGAGAGAGAAATATCTCTGAAGCAAAGACAGGCCAGGGAATACTTTCTTCCAGTGAGGTGGCAGAAAAACCTTATAATTCA